CACATATTCTACGTTGGCTATGTTATTTTGTAGTCTAGCCTCAATGGGAGCATATATTCTACGTTGGCTATGTTATTTTAGGCTAGACTACAAAATAACATAGCCAACGTAGAATATGTGCTCCCATTGAGGCTAGACTACAGCCAACGTAGAATATGTGCTCCCATTGGGGGATTCGAACCCGCGGCCCACAAATTGCGAGTCGAGCACCCTAACCACCTGGCCATGACTTATAAAGGATCCCCCAACAAAAGAAATATGTGTTCAATAAGCTTCTACAGAAAACAAGTTCGTTTTGTGGCAAATTCTGTCTGAAGGTGAGCCAGCAATGGTTTCTTCTCCATTTCACACAAAGCTGTAAATGAAAGAATGGGATGCGGTATTCGCGGTGATCATTGGTCGAGACGAGTTTCGAAAGATGCTAAAAGTATCAAGATAATTGGGGAATAAAGAGTTGTTCCTGGCCGCACCTTTTCAACAGACTCACACAAATCAGAACGCCCTAATGAGTTCCAGCGTCTAGTTGCCCAAGTCTCAAGGGTCCGATACCGGGCCTGGTTTGGCATCTTCATTAATAAACCACACTAACCCCATCTAGACTTTCTGGATAATGACGATATTTGTTTTTCAAATTGCCTGGTGCCATAAAAGCATAATTTACGGAACGCAACGCCCCATGGAGCAACATAGACGACGGCTCTCTCTGTATGTATAAATAAATATGCTGATAGGAAGTTGGATGTAGGCAGTTCAGGAGAAGATGGCAAGGACAATCATCTTCTCTTTGTATACTCCCGACACCCCCACACCCCTCATGGGATGCGGAGAGAAAAGTAGATCTAAGTTTAGAACAGAATATAATCCTGGAAGAGTGAACTATTGGCCACTTTAAAAGCGCGTCGTGATCTCACCGTATGGAATTAACTACCCTGAACGGAAGCCTAAATATACCCAGTAAGACACGAGCTAATCCTTATTACTAGAAGTTATTTAAAGCAGTGCTAATGAATATTCATGAGGATCTTTCTATAATAGACGATATAAATTAGTGACGCCTGAACTACGACACTAACATGACACTTGGATCGTTCTAAACAATGACAAATTAAAAGCTATTTGGTTATAATGAAGCATAAACTAGTCTAATTAATGAACAACGTGAGCACTGAAGCAATGAGGAGTTCTGTACAGAACGGCATGTCCTACCCCTCTTCCCGCTATACCTACCCCAGCACAACTCTTTCAGGGTAAATATAACAGTTTTTAAAGGTTGAAATATTTTTCTGTTTCTACATTATCTTATTACAGCCCACTTAATTGACTAAACAACCTGGAAACGTTCAACCAATTTCAAATACGTATTTAACGTTCCAGTTGGGAATTACCAAATCAGCAATGATTTCTGCCGACTTGCGATACAAGATACACACTTTTCGTAGAGACAGAAAACAGCTGTTCTTTAAGACAGAACCACAAAACTTGCCGTATAAATCTGAAAATAGATCTTAATATATTTAAAAAATGCAGCCTTTTCTTATACCTATAGAACCGTCCCACCAAACATGCTCGCCCTTTCAGCCGTGGGGCGTTATAAC